AGATGGATAAATAACTAGACTTTCCGCCAGAGTTAACAGTCGGTAAACGCGAAGAGGATGAAGAAGAATTGTTATTTCCGTTGACATGTAATTATGTTAACGAACTTGGTTTCTAGTCTCTATATGCTGAGAACAGTTAAGTTGTGTTGTACTGAGTGTTGCATGTCGGATGATCCCTTGGCCACTCCCAGCTGCACAATTCTCTTCAGACCTTTACAATCTATTTGTGCTTCAGCATTGTTAACTCGTCCCCAAAAGGATTTGGCAACTTCTAGCAATCAATTTACCACCAAAGAGTACAGAATGTGCCAGTTTCTCTGCTTGATGATTTCAGTCACAGTCGAAAACTGGAGAAGTTAACAATCTTAGTCGCCCCAATGTGGGATGCAGTTTTTCGTTACTTGAAGCCCCACCCTGGCTTCTGCCGGGAGCCCTGAATATATATAAATATGGCCAAACGGCTGAAGGGGGTTTCTGGGACCTCTCCACGGGTGATCCTTATCTGCATGGTGGCATTTTGTGTCACTGTGTGTTTATCGCTTGTGTGATGTCTTGTGGGGTACAACAAGATTGAGAGAGAGAGAGAGAGAGAGAGAGAGAGAGAGAGAGAGAGAGAGAGAGAGAGAGAGAGAGAGAGAGAGAGAGAGAGAGAGAGTAAGAAAACAGGAGAAAATATCCAAAGGACGTAAACTGCTAGAGACCTCAGAAGCGATGATTGGCACTCTGCACGGAGCATGTCTGTCTCCACCTGTATCAGCAAGCGTCATTAATCAGGTGTAAACACCACCTGTGTCTGCAGCGATTTGAGGAAGAGCATTTGATATCAGCTGTATAATTTTACTTTTGAAGATAGCGAAAAGGCTCTATAGCAGTGTATCTATCGTCATCTATTATGAATTTTTATGTTGTTATAATATATGAATGTATCTGTCGTAATCATAGATGAATTTATCTGTTGTAATCAAATATGAATTTATCTGTTGTTATCATGTATAAATTCATCTGTTATATTGTGTATCAGAACCCTGGCTCTGGACGCCTGCGACTGCAGCCAGGATGTGTTTATCGTGTGCGGGGAAAACCAGGTCAACTACCTGTCTCCCTGTCTGGCAGGTTGCAGGAATGCTACAACTGACATGGTAACCACACGGAACAATTATATGCGCGCGTGCGTGTGTGTGTGTGTGTGTGTGTGTGTGTGTGTGCGCGCGCGAGAGCCCGCGTGGATGCATGTTGTTGTCTCGATGAATTATGTCTTGTTCGCCTATTGCTTTTATGTCTTAGACTTTTTTTGGGGACCCTGCAACAGACAACTGTGCCATGGTATATTTTCTGCATGCAAGGGTGTCTCAATAGGCTTAGTCGGTTGGTCGTCCGGTTGCCTGGTAGGATAGGTGATTGGCAGTGACATATTTTACTTATATTGTAAAATGGGATCAAGCAAACAAAAAGTAGAACCAGTCAGCTTCATATTATCATAAACACAAACAATAAATAAACGTTGCGGCAAGGGAGCCTTTTTCAGCACTTTACAAAAGTCTACCGTACCACATATATGAGTAAAAATACATAAAATTACTTGGTAGCCATATTCCTGATAGAAATCACATTGCTATCCCAGCCACTAGAATGAATGACACGTATGTGGCAGCCGCCTGAAATAAAAATTAACCCGGGAACGCCTCAAGAGACAAGAGTCGTAACCCAGCGATATTTAAACAACAAAACCAGTGCTGAGCGTTAAGGTGAATTGGCGCCCATAAAACTGATAAGGCGATTCTTGAGAGGCTCAATTGGTCGTAACCTCTATGTTCGAGGACACCTTAGTTATCCTGAGAAATGAAGTACTTAGGCACTGCGCTGAAGATACCGTTCTGCATATCCAAAAGATGTTACTTACTTACTTACTTACTTACTTACTTAGTCGCTCCTCTTCTATCTTGGGTTGTAGAGATTTGCCAGAGAGATCGCCAGACTTCTCCATCAGCAGTTTTATTTCTGGCTTTGTTCCATTCAAGTCAGAGACTATCGGAGGTTGTCTTCCCAGCGGACTTGTGCGTCGCCCTAGAGATCTGGTTACCTGGTTCTTAACCTCTCGTGGCTGCCATGATGGCCGATTTTCTCCCATTGTGCATACATGACCAAACCATCCTAACTGTGACTCATCCACTAGAGTTTGTTAGGCCCGGGTTTCAAGATCTTTGCGTATTGTCTGATTAAGAACTTTGTCCCTTCTTGTCACTTGGACCACCTTTCTCAGATATCTGATTTCTGAGGCCTGGAGCTGCCTTGTATGAGCTGTTGTCATCTAAAAGATCTAAAAGATGTTGCCTGTTTGTATTGTGGCTTTATAAATTCGCTGATCTAGAAGTTTCGCTGACTGATGGTTTGCATATGCCTGCTGTACATATATTGTTAATAACAAATAAATGTTAAATGCATGGTTTAAAAAACAACAACTTATTTTGAGCTACATACTCTGATATCTATTTTGTGGACTTATGAGGACATATTTAATTTTACAGATTTTCACAAACTGCACAAGAATCAACAATGGTCACGCAAGACCAGGGATGTGCGATCTTGACTGTCCTTACTTCATCCCGTACTTGATCAATTTCTCCATCGGATATTTTCTGGGAACTTTAACGTTAATACCCCAGTTTTTGTTGACTGTTAGGTAAGTAATTGATTTGTGACCTTATCAGTTTGTGTGCTGGTTTAACCAACTTTATGTATGTATATGTATGTGTGTATATGTATGTGTATATATGTTTGTGTGTATATGTATGTGTGTGTGTGTGTGTGCTGGTGAAAACTTTCTTTTTCTCCTTTTTCTTTTGTTGATGGCATTTTCGTTTCTTTCACCGTTTGTATAACTTGTCCCGTTGCTGTTTCCAATTGCTTTTGTGTGGCTCTGGGGCTTAGAGGTTAGTAAGCCAGTTTCGCAATACTAGACGTACCTGGGTTGGATTTCCACGGCAAGTGGAATTTTAAACAAAACCTGATCCTGTGGGCTGTAGTGTCACGCGGTACAACAGGGTGGGATCTCACCATGGATTATTCTCAAAGACGGCAGGAACCACCGCAGCCGACCGTGATTGTGGACACAGCACTGAAATGATTGCTATTTTTTTTTAAAGATGCAAAATATACTCACTAATAAAAGGATTTCAATTGCGCGCGCACACACACACACGCGCACGCGCGAATGAATACAAAAGGGGGTGTTAAAAAAGGTTGGTTGACAGGAGGGGTGTGGGAAACTGCTCTAATTTTTTGACCACGTTATAGGAAAACTGAAACTGGACCATTGACCAGATTTCTGAAAAGAGAGTTAGCGAAAGATGAAAGGAGAACATTCTAGATTGCTTTTTGTCATGGCATGGAAGGTGTCAGCACACGAACTGAATGATATTTGCTGTTGGATATCGCAAGTTGTGGAGATGCATGATCACCCATGCCTGTGGGCAAGGCACCTAATGATGATGATATATATTTTGTGTTACAAGATACCGTGAGTGTTAGATGTTGGCTGGTTTTAGTGAGAAATCAACGATAGCTGTGGCCTCCTCCTTGCATTATCTAAATCAGTGACTCCCAAACTTTGCGCCGTGGCGCCCCGTTAGCCGCGACCTCTTCACAGGGGCGCCGCGAAATATTCGAATATACACTAGTTAATTTTTTGTTTATCTGTTACATACAAATAATCATACTTTCACTTAGGTTAGGACGCCGTGGACAAATTTTAATTGAAAAAGGGCGCCGTGGACAAATTTTAATTGAAAAAAGGCGCCGTGACTAAGAACAGTTTGGGAAACACTGATCTAAATGATTGTTTTCCTCTCCAGATCTGTAGAACAGCGCGATCAGTCGCTAGCATCGGGAACTACGGCATTCTGTCAAACTTTGATAGGTGAGACCCCAGACCGAACTGTCTTTACATCTTGTGTGTGTGTGTATATATATATATATATATATATATATATATATATATATATATATATATATATATATAACTGTGTGTGTGTGTTTGAGAGTATCTGTGTGTGTGAGTGTGTGTGTGCGTGCGTGCGTGCGTGCGTGCGCGCGCGCGTGTGCGTGTGTGTGTTGGAGGAGAAGATGTGAATATGGTTCAGTATGGAAATGTCATTGTTTGAGCAACCCATATTATTTAACTAGACAGTTGTTTGGTTAGTTGGTTGGCTGGCTGCGTTGTTGGCCTCTTGTTTGTTTTGTTGACTGGTTGATCGCTTTGCTGCTTGATTAACTGGCTGGTTGATTGGCTAGCGGATGCTTGAATCCTCTGGAAGACTTGCGTTACAACTCCCAGGATGGACTGGCTTTAAGGTAACATAAAAAGAAGATATTGCATCTTCTGGGATCAAGTTAGTTATAATGTTGAGGTAATGTTTTTATACCTTTCAATATCCAATATTTGTTCGGTTCACATATATCAACGTACAGCTTGGCACATTAACTATTTATGTGTTAAAAACAACATAAAGTGCGACTTGAAAGCTCCTTACAGGGAATAGAATATACGACCACAAATACAATTTAACGTTTCGACCAGAGTCGCTGTCAACGGAGTACTTTATACAGCACATATTGTCTTCTTCTACACACCCGTTTTTACATATGTAACGTATTTGTATGCAGACTGTTGGTTTCTTGCATCTCAGACAGATGCACTCCGACTTCGAAGGAAATCCCAAATTAGTCGACTCTTACGACACGCTTGTTGGGAACGCACTGAGTCAATTCACACGGAGAAATAACACAAATTGTGACTGTATTTATATTTATATGCTGCATGGTTCTATGCGGTGCTATTATCTTAGACATATACAGTGGAACCTCGCTTAACGAGCATAATTCGTTCCAGAATCATACTCGTTAAGCGAAACACTAGTTATGCGAAACAATTTTTCTCATATAAATTAATGTAAAATACAAAAATTCGTTCGATGTCGAAAAAAAACAAAAAACAAACACAATATGCTATATATAACGTTTATTCAAAGAAATTATATACGTATTGTTAAGGAGAGTTAATCGTCTTCTTCTTTTCTTCAAACGTGGAACAACCCCCCCCCCCCCCCCCTTTTCTCACCCCATGGAATGAGAATTCGATTTGCAGAAAAAAAGTCAAAATAATTATGATATATAGCTAATTATTAATTTTTTGTTTAACTAGAAAGATTTTCAGAGACATTTGTTTTTGCCGACGCTTCAAAATTTGGCGAAAATGCGACACAGCATTATCATTAAATAAATTTGCAGCGCGCAAAGCTATTTCCTTATTAGGGTGATGCTTCTCGATGTAAGATGCAACAGTTTCCCGTGATTTCAACATTTCTCTTATTTTGCCAGAAGATGTTGCTTTTTTTGTTACCTCCTCCTCCTCTGACAAACTTTCCTCCAAAACTTCTTGCTGTGAAACACAATGCAACCCCATAAGCTCTTCGGAAGTCAGCTCTTGGCTGTGATCTTCCACAAGCTCATCGATATCACTGTTATTCCCCTCCAGTCCCATGATGGTGGCCAAAGACACAATCTCGTTGACAACGGGTTCCACAGATACTGTCTAGAAACCCTCAAAGTCAGATTCTTCAACGCTGTCCGGCCAAAGCTTCTTCCAGCCAGAAGTTGGAGTTCTCTTGGTAACCCCTTCCCACGACTTGCCGATCATCCCGAGGCAGGAAACGATGTGAAAGTGATTTTCTCCAAAACTCTCTGAGAGTGAAGTTGATCCTTTCAGTCACCTGAACAAAATGCTCGAAGAGTTCTTTAGTAGAGTCTTTTGTAGAGCTTCTTAAAGTTAGAAATAACTTGCTGGTCCATGGGCTGGAGTAACGGAGTTGTGTTGGGAGGCAGAAATAGGATCCTGATGAACCTAAATTCTTCAGGGAGGTCATCTTGTAGGCCTGGAGGATTCATGTACATATTTCACAATATAACACAAATTTGAGAAAAATGTGTGATCACAAGCTAAACACAGACTGATGAAACATGCGCACAATTCGGGACTTCCCCTCTCCTCGCCACTCGTTATGCGAAACGTCGCTCGTTAAGCAAGTAATTTTTTTACAATTTGTTTTGCTCGTTAAGCGAGGTTCTACTGTATTTTATTGATTGTTTTCAAGACAACGATATTTTTTTTTAATGGCGTGTTCAGGGACTTGCTCTTCGATATTGCCATGCACTCAGGCCCTTTCCAACACCATTAACTCTTTCCTTACCAATCAGCTCATTATACGTTGTAGGTTTACATTGTACATTGTATCTCTTTCTTCATTTTATCTGTTTCATACTCTAATTACAATAACTCGCTGTATCACAGTACGGAGCGCCTCGTTGGTCATGTGTCTCATTACACTTGTTCCCGGCATGCTTTCAGTATTCATGTGTTATAGTATGTCTTATCTTTGTACACCTTCATATGAGAGCAGCCTAATACATGTATTGTACACCTTTCTATGAGAACAGCCTAATACATGTATTGTACACCTGTCTATGAGTGCAGCCTAATACATGAATTGTACACCTTCATATGAAAGCAGCCTAATACATGTATTGTACACCTTCATATGAGAGCAGCCTAATACATGTATTGTACACCTTTTTACGAGAACAGCCTAATACATGTATTGTACACCTTTCTATGAGTGCAGCCTAATACATGTAATGTACACCTTCATATGAGAGCAGCCTAATACATGTATTGTACACCTTTTTACGAGAACAGCCTAATACATGTATTGTACACCTTTCTATGAGTGCAGCCTAATTCATGTATTGTACACCTTCATATGAGACAGCCTAATACATGTATTGTACACCTTTCTACGAGAACAGCCTAATACATGTATTGTACACCTTTCTATGACTGCAGCCTAATACATGTATTGTACACCTTTCTACGAGAACAGCCTAATGCATGTATTGTACACCTTTCTGTGACTGCAGCCTAATACATGTATTGTACACCTTTCTATGAGTGCAGCCTAATACAAGTACTGTACACCTTTCTATGAGAACAGCCTAATACATGTATTGTACACCTCTCTACGAGAACAGCCTAATACATGTATTGTACGCCTTTCTATGAGAGCAGCCTAATACATGTATTGTACACCTTTCTATGAGTGCAGTAGATATGCACAACCATTTAAAATGAGAACTTCGCCACTATGTTCGAAACCTTAACTGATACTGTTGTTCTAACTTGCAGGTATTCTCCCGTCCCCTATACTTTTCGGGAAGATGATAGATATGTCTTGCTCCCTGTGGAGCCCGAGTGGCAACTGCATCCTCTACGACAGGGATCGCTTCCGGTACAACTACTATGGCGTCTACCTCGGTTTGAGATTTGCCAGCCTGGGCGTGATTGGCTCCTTACTGTGGCTAACGCACAAAGACGCTCGAAGAGAGAGTTCTAAACCAACAAGCAAGACAACAGAGGAATAATAATAATGTTTATGTTTATTCATCGGATCGACATTATGGCCCACTGGTATTAATAATAATAATAATAATAACTGTAGCAGATATTGACTATGGAAAAAAGTGCTGGTACTCACCACACAGTGTCTGTTACAGCAGAAATGAAAACATCATGTCCGGAAATAGTGCTAGTACTGTGCGCCGTTACATAACACCAGAAATAAAGCACTGAGTAGCAGCAGTAGTAGCTGCAGTAGCAACAGTAGTAGTAGTAGTAGTAGTAGTAGTAGTAGTAGTAGTAGTAGTAGTAGTAGTAGTAGTAGTAGTAGTAGTAGTAGTAGTAGTAGTAAGTAGTAGTAGTAGTAGTAGTAGTAGTAGTAGTAAGTAGTAGTAGTAGTAGTAGTAGTAAGTAGTAGTAGTAGTAGTAGTAGTAGTAGTAGTAGTAGTAGTAGTAGTAGTAGTAGTAGTAGTAGTAGTAGTAGTAGAAGAAGAAGAAGAAGAAAAAGAAGAAGAAGATTAGTAGTAGTGTCGGCATATGCGGTTTAGGCGTTGCGAGCCCGCTTCGTAATTCCGAGTCCGGTTAGTGATCTAGTCTGCAGCATGGCGGCCGCTTTCGATCTGCGAGTCAATTTAAAAGTTTGCTTTAATAAAGATTTGAACCTCAGACCTATGGGTCCACAGTTGAGCGTTTAGCATCTACGCTACCGCAGCTTTCTCATTTATAATTCAGAGGCGCTGTAACGATCCAGGGATGCGGTGGTAGTCTCCGTTGTAATTTATAAAGGACCCTTTTTTACGCCCTTAGACTCTTTGGCATATAGTAAAGTAGAGTACCTACTGGGCATATAGGGCTAGACCTATATTTAATACACAAATCGGCACTCGGTTGGTGATTCGGGTAACATCGCGCCAGTCGCCTGTAGTTTCCAGGACTTCAACTGGGATCCAGGGTCAATTTTGTTTAAAAGTCCGTCTCCGTCACAACGTGAGTAGACAGGACCCTCTGATCCGCAGTCTGTTGCAGCTAGGGACACTGAATAAAAATGTTTGAACAATGGAAGCATTTTTTCCCCCTTGTGTTCGCCATTCAAAGGCGATTGGCATGCTGTGTTGCGGTTTACAGCTAGGAAACTATATCTGCACCTCACTACCATACACCTCCGATTTCAACAAAAACCCGAATTATTCGTCTTGTACGACATGGTTGTTGGGCGGTGGATCTGATCTTTCATCCTCCTGTCCCCCACCTCCAATAACATCAGGCATCGCAATGCACATAGATATACGGAATCATTAAAATGGAAGAAAAGGTTTACACATTTGGGGGGAGGGGGAGGGGGGGGGGAACATGTTTCAATATTTTATTTGATTGATTGATGTTCAACCCCACCAAGACATTACACCGAGTGATAAACACCTGGTGACATAAAATGCCACCATTCGGATGAGAATCACGTATGAAGAGGTCCCATAAACACGGTTGAACCCATTGATTGGTCTATATTAGGGCTCCAGGCAACAGCCGGAGTAAGGTTTCAAGTAACGACAAATTGCGTCCCACATGGGGACGAGTTACAATAGCTTTTAATATTTCAGTGTTTGTAACAGATTTAAATTCTTTGTGGCTACTTCAGTTTTTTTTAATGAACACAAAATTTAAGTTATCACCAATCCTTCTCATTAACGTTTCTTTAAATGTCATTTAAATATTCTGAATTTTTGAATTAATATTAGGTTTCATTATCTGAATTTTCTATGTATATATTGCAAATGTTTTTATGGGTGAATTAAATAAAAAATGTGTACAATTTTAAGCTTCCTAGTGTCTATCTTATGTACCATAAAAACTTTCTTGCCCGTGCTGTGAACAGTATAATGAAAGATGGACACATGAGGGGGTAAAAAAAAAAAGCATCTTAAACTGCAGGAAATTGGAGACGATGTGTGTTTGTGTGTGTATGTGTGCGTGCATGTGTATGTGTGTGTGTGTATGTGTGTGTGTGTGTGTGTGTGTGTATATATATATATATATATATATTATGGCTGTACAGAATATTCGCTTGGTATTCGCTTCGGGGCCGAATAGTGGACCTAATAGCTATTCGGTATTCGGCCGAATAGTGGCGGTCGGGCCGAATACGAATAGTGATTTCTGCATACACTACAATGGACTGAAATAACTCTCTCATTAACACAATAGTTGCCGTTGCCTAAGTTTGTCCACCGCCTTCTCCAGACTGAGTCGGCCGTGGTCTTTGCCTGCTGATTCGTTTCAGGCATTACAGCAGAGGTTCTCAAACTGGGTGCGTAAGCCAGGGGTGCAGCGGCGAAAATCAAGAAAAGTCAGCTATAAATTGTGACATTATTAAAGAAGGCAAGAAGATACTTAAAAGTTGAAATTCAAATTGTCTTTCCTCGCCATTGTAAAAAAAATAATTTCTTTTTCTCTCATGTTTCACACTCAAAGTGTATTATACAGCATAAAATGCCAACCACAGGGTGCTAACCATTGTCTTCGTGTTTATCCCGACATGCGACCGATTCTCCATCTGTATTCGTGAAGGTGCAGGCAGATAAGTAAGCACATTTATTTAAAGGCAATGCGATTTTTGTGTGTATGCTTGTGTGAGTGTGTGTCTGTGTGTGTGTGTAAAAAAGAGAGAGAGAGAGAGAAAGAGAGAGAGAGACAGAAAGAGAGAGAGAGAGAGAGAGAGAGAGAGAGAGAGAGAGAGAGATCATGTATTTTTTCGTTCTTTCAGCGTGTCTTTGCCCAAATCAAATTTGAAGATATTCCTAACAAGAATTTGAAGGTGCGTTTAAATTACGTCGAACGAACGGCCCAGCGAACGATGATTTATATGCGAATTTGGCATATTAATAACATCCGATGGAAGATGCATTACTGAAATAAGAAACAGAAAAGGACAGGCTAAAACTGCATTTTATAAAATGAAGAACATCTTATGCAATGTATCTTTGTCATTGAATGTTAGAAAAAGAATTCTTGCTTGCTGCATACATCCAATTTTAACATATGGTTGTGTCTTGGACAATCGGCAGGCAAGCCAAACAATTTCTTGAGGCCTCAGAAATATGGTTTTACAGAACAATGCTTAAAATAACTTGGACAGCCAAAAAAAAAAAAAAGCAACCAAGAGGTTTTGAAAGAGGCGGGAGTCCGAAGACAACTTATCACAGACATCAGAAGGAGACAGTCATCATTTTCGGCCATGTTTTGAGAAGAGGGAAAATGGAACATGTGGTGACCACTGGAAAAATCTGTGGATGGAGAGATAAAGAAAATAAAGAAAGACAACGAGAGAAGATTCTTGACAGTCTTGTTGCATAGCATGGAGGGGTGTCAGCACACGAACTGATACATGCTGCAGGAGATCGCAGATTGTGGCGAGGTCAAATCGCCAACGCCAGTCTGCAAGGCACCTGATGATGATGATACACTATTCGTATTCGTATTCGGCCGAATAGTTGGACCCACTATTCGTATTCGGCCGAATAGTGCAAATCACTATTCGGTACAGCTCTAATATATATATGTATGTGTGTGTATGTGTGTGCGTGCGCGCGTGTGTGTGTGTGTGTGTATATGTGTGTATATATGTGTGTATGTGTGTGTGTTTGTGTGTGTATTACAATTTATTTATAAGAAACATCGGCGACCGGCTTGCTCATTGGCTCGCCAGTAAACGACTTCGTCAACGGTGGGGACCTATTTGAGTCTGTCCCCTCTGATCGCATCAACACTGAAGGAGTCCCTTTCAGGACTCTTGGTGGCATGCAAGGCTAAGCCCTTTTATTTGGCGCACATAACCCAGTCACAATTATAACCTAAAGCTTCCCCTTCGGGGTTGCTGGTTGAACGAGACAGTTTGGTTCTCCAGCAACGCACCTGCCTACCATTTCTAAGAAAGGTGTGGTAGGCGAAAGATATTTAGAAATCTTTGATTTTGACAAAGTCACTTGTTACTGTTTCAACCAAGGTGTCGTTATCGTTGTCAACATCACCCTTATCATCACCGTCGTTGATCTTATAATCACCATCATCATCACCACCGACACCATTACCAGTATATCATCACCATGTTGCTCACAATGCAGCAGAGTTGTGTCTCTTCACCCAGCTCCTATCCCTTGATCTATGAACCATGGGAGACCACATTGGTAGGTAAGCTATTCCCGGCATAGATCTTGAGGTCATCATCACGCCATTATAGAGACATATCAGAGGCGAACGCTTCGCTTCGTAATGCCGGGATGCCAGGTTCGATCCCAGCTGCGGGCACTGCGCCTTGCGTTGGTTTCGTCAGCGGTATCAAGAAAGCCGACCGTCCAGAAAGCAATGGCAAACTACTGGACGTATATTGCCTAGAGAAACCACACAACAGCCAGGGGCTGTTAGGGTTGGTTCTGCAACGTCCTGTAAAGGATACGCAACTAACTTTAAATCAGAGGCATGTCACCTAAATACCTGGGCCAGCTGGCATAGAGTCCTTATGCTAATTATTGTCTTACATGATCCTAGCCGGTGCTACGGAGTTCGTGCACTGCGCTGAGATTCTTCTTACTCAGGCTTGAGTTAGAAGTAGAACGGAGCAGTTATGGGTTCATACCCTTGTGCCATGATGTTGATCCGTGATTCAAACCAATGTACGTCAAAAGACCATTTACATTTCATTGCTGTGAGCGCTTATCGTAGAGCCAGGCATACTGGTTTGTCCAGGGGCCCATAATGCTGTTAAGACGGCATTTTCTGTAACAACTGCTATGTCAATACATTGCATGGTAGGCGTCTGTGACTTACGAACATCGTCCGTAATTCCGAGATACCCGGTACGATTCCAGTTGTAGGCGATCTGGTAGCAGGTGGCTTTATGTTTTTTTTTTTACACTGGTATTGAAAGGTGACCGGTCAATGTTATTGACAAATACTTATAGTAAAAATTATCTAGAATAATCACGAACAGTCCAAAAAATGCTAGGATTGATTCTGCAACATCGTGTAAAAG